GTTTAAATTATTTAATTATCCTTTTGACCTTCAATAATTAACTGACACAAAATGTGTACAAGCATATTTGTTTGTTGGTATATATTTAAGTCTTATTCTAAATATTCGCATCTCAGTGCTCCTATTATCTGGTTGCATTAATTTAAATATCACGTCTAAATATTCGGATTAAAACAAACAATTTTGTACCGACTTTGGAGGTTAATCTATAGTTAAGAAAATATACTTACACCTATTGAAGTTCATCGTTTCGTACCATAACTATCGCGAGATGGGGCTACCCACAGAATCATGGAAAAAAACTTTAATTTCCTGGCCGCCTTTTAGCTTTGGAAATTCACCAACTATCGCCACAAGCTGCCAGCTCTAGCGCTGAGCATGTGTACGTAGTGTGTGTGTATGTGTGTGTGTGTGTGTGTGTGTGTGCTGGTGACGGGCTTTCAATTATGGCTGATTCTGAGCTGCCATCAAGTCCGAAACTGAAATGTTTGAATACATTGCCATTTAGCCGAGGGGGGAATGGGGGTGTCCCCCTGCACATGCCCCACAATCCCTATGGACAGGGTGGTCATGGGCGTGGCAGGGCATATATCACTTCTGGAGTGCGACAGAAAGCGTAAATCAAATGATATGCGAGTGCAAGTATGACAAGTATGTATTATGTTGGTAACTATGTGTTATCAGCCGCCACCCCGCAGAGCCACCATCGGCCCCACACACATGCCACAGGGCCCATGCAGCGAGCAGGCAGGCATTCAGTGGAATGTAATAAGAGAAGAGCAGAGAAGAGCAGAGCAGAGCACAGCACAGGACAGGACAAGAACTGGAATAGGACGAGGCGACAGACATGTTTATCGCCATATTCTCCCAGCCATGACTAAAGATGCAAAAGGCATAAATACTCCCTGAGCAGCAGGCGACAAAGCGGCTCAAAATGCTACAAAGGCTGAGTGGGTGGTGGATGGGGAATGAACAGAATGAGGCAGAACGAGGGTGGGCTGGGGAGCAACACAGTCAAAACATTTTAATATATTTAATTTTACATTTTACATTTTTTTAGTTATTACACTAATATATATTTATATTATACACTACAGTAATTTACATACATTAGTTTCATAGGGGTTGCGGCACGAAGGGGGGAGGAGGGGAGTGTTGATGGTAGGAGGGGGGGGCAACTTTCTTCATCTGTAAATTAGACCTGATTCATAGTCTGAGATAGGCATCTCTACGATACTGGTTATTTATCTACTTTACGGCGCCACAATTGCTTGTGGAGCGGACGGGGGGGGTACAGGGATATCACAGAGGCCGGTTCCAGCAGTAATCCAGGGTCATCAGACGGACACGGCACGGCGGACGGCGACGACGGAGCCGAGACGGCTATAGATTAGGTCCTCGTTACACACCCACTCCTCCCTTGTGGGTTAAAAGAACTGCCAGTGGGGAGCAGCGGGCAGAGAGTAGTCTTCTCTGCTTCTCCTCCATTGGGGCGGCACAAAGCCCATGGCAATGGCAATGGCAATGGCAATGGAAATGGAAATGGCAATGGAAATGAGACAACGAGACAATGGCACACAATGCTTCGATTACGGCGATAATTGAATGAAAACCCAGCGATTGTCGACTGACATTTATGCTCGAGAGATGGTAAATGGCGCAATTACCGATAAACGACAATTCCTTCGATTATTGCACGGGCACCAGAGATTTCTCTCACTCCTCCCACCTGCAGCTACCAAAAATTCATCGCCAGACCCAAGAACGTAGCACAATTGCTCTGCTGGAGTACCGTTTTGGGGTTCTGGTCTTGTGTTTTGTTTTCCCCCCTTAAAAATACATCAAAATAATACACACAGCTACCCGCCACCCCCAACCCTGCTGGCAATGTGCAACGGTGGGGCCATGCAGCCGTGGGGCAAATGAAAGTCCCCCTAGTTATTCTGACCATTATTATGCGTATAATGCGAGTTGGGCTAAAGTTCGAGCGCAAAACACCCAAAAAGGCTCCAGGGCCCCATAGATCAGATGGGGGGGTGTGGGCGGGGTGGTTGGGAGGGTTAGCAGCTGTGGCCTTGACTCGCAGCATCCCTTATTGGGGGCTTCTTCCCATTACCTTTTGGATCATCAAAAACTAATAAAAAGTAAGCTGCGGAGAGCACGCGGGAAATATGCCTGCGTCCCAATCGAAGCAGGCCCCACGATTGCCTAAATTACTCAGCCATGTGCGCGTTATCGACCCACTTATCGATAGCACGCAACCAGAAACGCTCACTCCTCGGCGCCGACCAGAGAATGACAAACTGCGGCACACGTTGTGACAGCTGTCCGTCTGAGGGTCTGGACAGCATCGTCCATATCTGCATAGCATCCATCAAGCGAGCGGAGGCAGACACAAAAAAAAAAATACAATTATGGTAGGGGCAAAGGCAGCAACAGCCCTTCTGCGTCGCTTGCTCACTGCCCACGATTGACGGTGCCAGGCTGCATGCCAACTGGCTGACTCCCAACTGAGGGATACCCCGACTAAGGGAGCATGCGGCAACTGTATGCTGCTGCTGCCCGATCTGGCTGCAGCTCCAGCCAGAAACTGTCACCCTGTGCCAATCGATTGGCCTGCTGATATACCCCTGCCCCAGCCCGTAGAGCGCCAACGGAAAGGGAAAGTGTCATTGAGATGTCAGCTGTGAAAAGTTGCCCGTTGACTGGCTACGATCCCCGCTTCGATTCAGCTCTGTTGGTTGTGCTCCCCCTCCTGCCCTCCTGCCCTCCTGCCACTCTGTCAGCCTGTTTGTGTTTTCTCTCTGGGTGTGTGTGTGGCAAGCCAATAAATATGGTGTTTAAGCCAACAAACCCAGCTACATGCTGGCTGCCTGTTCGCCTCCATTGTGTGGCAAACTGTGAAACTGTGCGAAGGCGTTGGAGCATAAACAGTTTTTGACATTGCCGGCCCAAGACACATGCTAATGCCAGGGACCCAGCACCCAGCACCCAGCACCCAAACACAGACATAGACCTAGACGTAGACGCAGACCGAGGGGCCCAATCACTGGATGAGTGAGTGCTTGGGGCACGCGGAGAAATGAATGATCCAGCAGCAACTCTTGTGGGAAATAAATAAGAGCGAAAAACTCTCCGAAAATAAAGCAAAAAAATATCCCCCTAAGATTGCTGACATTCACAATGAATATTCCGTTGAGCCAAATTGATTTTGCCCATGGCATAATGCATGACATCTGAATAATCTCCATAGTTATCCATAGCTGCTGCGACCACTTGAATCAATGAATATTCGCATGGGGTATTATCTGGGTCTCTGCCACAAACTGTTTTCTGATAGTGTAGGCCTGTCCTGTCCTGCTCTGTCCTGTCCTGCTCTGTCCTGTCCTGCCTACATATGTGCCTGGGTCGTTGGTCCGTTCGTCGGCCAGTTGCCCAGTCAGCCATAAACGTTATCTGCTTCTGGCAACCCGCCCAATGCCCGCTACACCAGTCGTTCATCCTGCTGGCAGCTACTGGGCATACCCTTGTCCCCCCCGCCACTCTGCACGACATTGCGACAAAATGCATGAATAGCTGCCTGCCCGCTGCCTGCCGGCTGCCTGCCCGCTGCCAGCCTGCTGCCTGCCCGCTGCGTTTACTCCCAGCCCAGTCGGAGGAGCAGATCGGAGCGGAGCGCAGCGGGGAACGTCTCCGTGTCCTCCTGTTTGTATGAGTCTCCGTCTACATGTGGTATATATAAGCCCCATATCTATAGAGCGACATACCCGTACTATATCTTGTCTTTTTATATTTTTTTGTTGGCTTTTATAGCTCTCACCGAGATTCACGTTTTTAGGGTCTCGGCCTTTGGACTTTATGGACTCATTTCGTGACTGAACGTGATGTGAAAGTTGTCGACGACAACGGCAGCACACACACACAGAAACACACACCCAAAAAGGGACACACACACACACACACACACAGACACAATATAGCAGCACATCCATACACAGTTATATACCTACGTGTGTGTGTGTGTGTGTGTGTGTGTGTTTTGGGGTAAACCGATTTGTCATTATTATTGAAGAGCATAAAATCCCTCGACCCATGGCCCATATACAGACCATCGACGACCATGGAGCAGGGGACCACCAGGGGCCGAGCAAGCACCGCAAAACGTTTCGGCTTTCCAGCTATGAATGGGTCACGCCAAGTCAAAACGTTTAGGAAGCGCTTAAAAAGCAGCCATCCACACACACTTTTATGAGGGGTACATATATGGGTATGGGGGTGGGGGTACAGGGGTACAGGGCAGGCGTTGCATTGCAAGGACACGCTCCAGGTACTACTACACCAGGTATCATGTATCATCAGCACATCACACATCAAACGAGCAAAATCCCATTGCAGACATTTACCCCAGGCGAGACATGTGTCTGCCCTGGCCCACACACCACCCCAACCCAACCAAAAACAATGCAACACAAAATGTCAATGTTATGAAAGAGCATCAGTGGGGCAGGGTGTGAAACGAAGGAGCCAAGCTGAGCTGTGGGTCACAAGTTGGAGTGCCCGTACCTTATGGGGCATTTTATTGTGGATAGTATTTGCTGAGGCTACGACTGTTAGCCAATTTGGCATTTTGTCTCTCAACGCTGCCAAAAATTAAGCAAAATCTGACGTAAAAAAATTCGTTAGAGATAAACTTTTCATGATGCAGAGTTGCATTGCATTAACGATAGTTATAGCTATCGATATCAACCAAATTCGAATGACAGTCACATATTGTGGAATTACTTGCATTTTTTGCAAATTCCACTCGAATCGGCACCCAAGTAGGCCGTGACAAAAGTACAAAAAGTACTTGGCGGGGGGGCCCTCAATCGGGCAGTTTTAAATCAAAACATAGACCTAACGGAACGGAGCTCGTTCGGAAAATAAAATAAAAAAAAAACTAAAAAAAGTGAAAATTTACGGAAAAAAATTTTGATCAAAAAAAAAAAAACAATTTAACGATGCATAGCTACACGTACGTCATTGCCGTGGACTTTGAGGCCACCTGCTGGGAGAAGCAGCCGCCGCCACAATGGCGCGACGCGGAGATAATTGAGTTTCCGGCCATTTTGGTGAATCTGAGAACGGGCAAGGTGGAGTCGCAGTTCCACAAGTACGTGAAGCCCGTGGAGCTGCCGCAGCTGAGCAAGTACTGCACCAATCTGACGGGCATACAGCAGAAGACGGTGGATGCCGGCGTGCCCGTGCAGACGGCGCTCGATTTGTTCATCGAGTGGCTGAAGCGGGAGCTGAAGGAACGCGACCTCACGCTGCCCAAGATGAGTGAGGCGGAGCCGCTGGGCAACTGTCTGCTGTCCAGCTGGACGGACTGGGACTTTGGCATCTGTCTGGCCAAGGAGTGTGTGCGCAAGGATATGCGCAAGCCCGGCTGCTTCGATCAGTGGATGGACGCGAGGGCCATTTTCCGGCAGTTCTACAATTATCGTCCCTACAACTTCAGCAATGCGCTGGCCTACCTGAAGCTGAACTTCCAGGGACGTGCTCACTCCGGCATCGATGATGCCAAGAATCTGGCCACACTGCTGTGCAAGATGTACAGGACGGAGCTCCGTTGGCGGTCACCAAGGACTTGACGCCCTATGTGAAGCTCAATCAGAACGGCGGCTTCTGAGCTGACACCAGAGACCAGACACCAGACACCAATCCACCCCTCCACCCCAGCACACACACACAAAAATGTAGGATTATTTACTGGATTATAGGCACATCCCCACAAAGGTAAATGCCAAACAAGTTTATCGCTTTTTGGTTAATTTTAATTTTATTTTTATTTTACATAATTTTCTATTAATTCGCAGCCGATCCTCTGTCAGCAGTCAGTCATCCAACTACAATGCAACAAATACAATTATTTATTGCATTGTTTAATATACCAAAGGTATATTAATAATTAATACACAACACAACAACAATCAAGCCCCAGGAACATGAAGGATGAGATGACTAAGAGCTGTGCTTAAACGGAACACACACACACACAACACAGCACACACACACACACACTTAAATGGTAAATAATTTGCTGCTTTTTTGTGTATTTATTTTACATTATTTCTATGCAGAGACTGGATGTGAATCGCGAGCGCAGCTGATTCCCCGTCAAAACAAACAGCAGCCTTGAACTATTTTTAGTACACGCCACAGAACATGAAGGATGACTTTGAGATGTGATTTGTGCCTTAGTCCGAACACAAAGGTAAAAGCCAACAGCGTTTTTCTCTTACTGTTTTGTATTTAATTTAATTTGATTTCTTTTGACAGACTCACTTGGGAGGGAGACAAGACTTCAAATTTGATGTGCATCGCCAACGCGATATGAGCGCCGACTTATGTACACATATACAAACATACATAGGTATGAGCGAGTGCATCAAATTAAATTACACACAGCAATAAATGTAGCATGTGCCATTGGCTTGCATATTTATCCACGATTCGTAATTAATTGCTATACAAATAATTATAATAATAATAATTAGTGGGGCTTCAGTGGCAACATTTTTAGTGGCCCACTTTTAATGGAAACAATTGAGAGACAGACCTGAGACTTGAGGAAACTCTGAAAAAATCTTTTGCTCAACATTTTTCTGTGCTGAAATTTGTAGTCTGTCCGCGAAGCCCCAGTCCAGTCCCAATCCGGAGGAGCATTTGCAAAAGAATGCGGCGATTCAAGATGGAATTCGCTTTGGACGCCCTTCCTTCCTTCCCTTTGCCACTGCTGTGAAGTGTCACTTAGAGAAAGTGTTGGAGACAGACACAGACTTGCCCCCGTCTTCCCATACCTGGGCAGCAGCAAGGCAAAGGCAAAGGCAACGTGGTGCAGCACGTTATGGAATTTACTTTGTTCTTCTGTTCCAATCAGTAAGAGTGAAATGTGCCCCTGAGGTGTGAGAGAATGTGTAGCGATAAGAAATGTGAATGCAACACCTTGTGGCACATGCAGCCCTACACGTACCACTCCACCCCCTTTCCACTGCTGCTGCCCCTGCCACTGCCACTGCCACTGCTGATGTTTGCTTAACCAAATTAAAGTTTTCGGGGCAAACGTGTGGCTTGTGTTCGGTTTTTGGGGCTTCGACTCCTGCGGTTTCTGTGGCCTGCTACGAGTATTGCTATTGCTATTGCCCCACACCACACCACACCACCCACCAGCAGCATCCTGGCATCCTGGCATCGTGGCATCCTTCTGCCTAATTAGTTGTAAGCGAATTTGTATTCAATTTGCTCGACTGGCATTGGTATGGGCCCCATTCCACTTCCTCCACTTCCTTCACTTCCTGTTGCTCTTCCAGGAACAGTTCCTACTTGGAGCTGCTCCATTTGCTGCTTGCTCCACTGCAGCTCCTGCTGGTTGGCCACTCTAAGGCTCACTCTAAGGCCGGGGCCAAAGTGTTTCATAACTGGGTATGGCAGGCCATAAATTATGTTGCCTACGACTTGGCAATTAAGCCCCGAGAATGAGCGTGAGAATGAGACCGGAAATGGAGTGGAATGGGAATGGGAATGGGGAATGGGGAAGCGTGCCAACCAATATAGTTGGGCTAGATCCAGCCATTTGCTCGCTCTCTCTCGCTCTCTCTCTTTCTGGCTGTCTGTCTCCGGCCTCGACCCCATCAAATTTACACCTAACAAACTTCATAACAGAGTCATAAAACCCTCCACAAACCAACTGGCAGCACACATGGCCATGGCCCGACTGGGGGGCATAACATGGACCGACCCGACCCGACCCGACCCCACCGGCTGTGTAGGCCATAAAAATGTTAAGGCAAGGAGAGAAAACATGCCAACAACCAAGAGGAGGATACGAGTGCCCCCAATGCCAATCGAGAGCCTGTGCTGCCGTTACCCTGCACCGGGGAAAACAGAGCCACAAACTCGAAGCAAGAATTCAGTCTCAAAATTTAGCTCCAGCGATGCTTGCGCTGATCCAATCCGAACAATTCCAACTACGGCATAATGCACATATGTACGTACGTGGTATATCGCCGATGGGTTTTCTGCTCTGTAGAAATCGGTATACCTTTTGCTTGGGTGTATCCAAAGATGAGCACAACACCAGGCAAAACAGTACAGAAAGGCAGAGCAGGAGGCAGAGCAGGAGGCAGAGCAGGAGGCAGTGCAGTGGGCAGAGCAGTGGGCGGAGCAGTGGGCGGCAGTATCAGGGCTGATGTGCTGGTGGCCGGAGGCACTTAAAGTGCTTGGAAAACTCTTTAAACAAAACACCCCTAACCCTGGCCCCAGAATTGCTCTCTTTTGGCCTCTCTGCTAAAAATATGCATATGAATATAAAACTACTCGGACAGGATGTGGGCTGGGGAGGAGGAGCTGTGGCTGTGGCTGTGTGCCGGCAAGACTCAAAGTTTTACTGCTCTTAGTCGCAGCCACAGCCACAGCCCCAGCCACAGCCACAGACCCATTCACATACCCATTCACATGCCCCAGACCCATTGACACCCACCACTACTGAGGTACTGAGGGGGCAGACAGCTTGTGTTTGCATGTCACTGAGCCTGTAATGTATTCTAATTGAATGTTGAACTTGACCATCTTCACATATGCGACTAACTTAAACAGGAAACAGGACCAGAACCAGAACCAGAAGCAGAGCTCCACAGGCACAGGAAGTGCATGAGCAGCAGCAGTTGAAAACAAGAGACAGAGAGAGAGAGGCAGGAAGGGGATGTCAGCCAGCCAACACACTGGAGCAGCCTTTGAGGAGCAGCCTTTGAGGAGCAGTGTCTAAAACAGCAGGATATGGTGTAGTTATTTTGTGTAAAAGCAACATAAAAAGCTGAGAACTATAGATAAAAGTAGGCCCGGAAATTATTCAAACAGAAAATGGAACATTGCAACACATGGACTAGTGGATTAGTACTTCAGATCTAATTGAATGCCTCATTGCATCCTTACTAGTTACGGCATAAATAAACAGTCGCAAATGTTGCTTAGGAATTTCATTCAACGTTTATGTACTTTGGCGCTCAGTCGCATGGAAAGTTGCCCCCAAACTCAAAGTATGTGAGTTTTCATTTGGCAGCAACAATGCTGAAAAGTATCCCATTAGAAGGGTTTTAATGGGATGGGAGGGGGAGGGGGAGGCGGAGTAAATGTACATTTTCAATTGAAATTCAGGAATCATTTGCATGAAAACAAATTCCAAACTCCCTGAATTTTGTTGCTGCTGCTGCTACTGCTGTTGTTGTCCCTCTGTAATTTTATTAAAAATCATTGACCAAACCACGCCTGCTACATGCTACGTGCAGCATCCCTGCCTGCAACATCATACCCCACCATGGCCACACATTCATTGATTGCAAAAATTCAACGTGCCAGCGAGGAGGAGAACGAGGAGGAGCAGCATGGAGGATGCCAACGAAACCATAAAAGCAACAATCAAACAGAGATGGAAATACAGACGGTGGGGGGGAGGGAAACAATTTCCCAAAAAGATATATAAATAAATATGCACATAGCTGTGTAGAAGTGTATTTGTTCAACGCCAAATGCAATTTCCATAACAAATCAAATATTTTATGGCCCCGAATGCCAAATGGCAGCCCAAAAAATGTTGTCAGCTTTAAAGCTAACCGCAAAAAAAGAGGGAAAAAAAAAATGATATTCTTTCCATTCCATTCTTGCTGCTTTGTGGCTTATGGCTTGCTGCTGCTGCTGCTGCTGCTCTGCTCGGACAGAAGTCCCTGCCCCAAAGTCCCTAAATCACTAAATGGGTCACAAATATGCATATGTCTGCACGTGTGTCTACCACTAGAGTGGGGAGCATCGAGTTCCGAGAACCGAGAAAAGCCAACAATTAGTCGAGCATTTGCTGAAAATAATATTTGTTAAATGTCCCAGGCAGACGTGCAAACATAAATAAACTCGAAACATGGACTTGAGGCACGATAACCGAAGCTGTGAATACCCTCCAGAGGGTACTTCAATCTGCTCATAACTCATTCGAGCATAATCTCTGATGGCTCTGGTTCATGCTCATCCTTTAAAAATGTTTCAAATATTTCATAATTTCAATTGCTGCAACGGCTACCCAGTAGCAGACCAATAGCGAAATGGTTTAAGTTTTCTATGCAATAAATCGCCTGAAATAATTACAGTATAATGAGTTTTAAGTGAATTTAACTGCGCGAATGTTTTGTATCTGAACAAAATCGATTTGGCAACATTTGGAATATTTATGAGCAATGCTTAGTATATATAAATAAATTTAAGCTGTGTGCAAGATTTGAATGTTTAAATATTCCAAGCTCACGGTATGGAAAAATGCTTGAATAAATGCTGGCTATGCATCGCCTGGGATGCACGCATAATAAAATACAGTACTAAAGGGGCGGAGCGGGACGGGACTGTAGCCAAACTATAACACTGCAACGAGTATAAGGGTAAAAGGAAAGGAATTTATTTCTGCCAATTGTTATATTTACATTTATGTGTATTTTTTTCAGGTGCATCTGCTGCTCTTTGATTTTATCTTTTTTGGCCACTATTATCCTTGCTGATTCTGTTCGTTTTTTTGGCAGTGTAGGTTCGCCTTTAATCCATTATCCCCAGAGGTTACACACACACACGAATTTTATTATCTAATTTTTTCCCCCTCACCCCAAATTGGTTCGTCTTTAATCTGTTATCCCTGGAGATACCGCATTCCCTCTGATTGTTGCCATTGTATTTATTCCTTCTGGTTGTGTCTGTATAACTAAGCCCCTCTGATTGTATCTAACTATTATCTAACGTGTTTCGCTCGTTTGTTTTAACCCGATTGTTTTTGTGTTATTTGCTCTGCATTTTCACAGCACGAGAAAGCAGGGGAGAGCGGTGGAAAGCGGGGGGATTACTGTTCATGCTACGCTTAACTTTAAAACACACACAGACACATAATGCACTTGACACTTACACGTGTGTGTTCGTGTGTGTGTGTGTTGCTGTGGGTGTTGGGTTGTGTATGGGTGTGGCACAATGGGAAATGTGGCTAGAACATTTACACAAAGCCAAGCGGCGACGGCTGCGGCAGCTGCAACACAAGCCCCAAAAAAGCTCCACCAAAGCTGCATCAATTAACTGTTGCAGAAGGGTAATCAGTGGGCGTTGCCACAGGAGGGGCGGTGACAGCAGGGTAGCTGCGGAGTTTCGGGGCTCGACAAATCAGCCGTGGCTAAAACTTTGATGGACTTGTTTAAAACATTCTCAGAAGCGAAAAATCGTTTAAATAAGCCGGATTGCAAATACCACAAAACGGTGCCGTCAGTGGGTGTTCGAGAGGTTGGGGGGAGACCTGGGGCCGATAGTCGAAATTTCTTTTTAAGCCTGACAGCCCTGGGTGGGGCACGCCCGAACCCGAGCCTGAGTCCGAGCAACTCCAGGGCAAATCCCTGATCCCTGCGGCCCCCCTCCTAGAAAGGATGAGTGCATGTTGTGGCA